ACCGTGGGCACTGAGGGCACCAAAAGAGAGGGGTTTACAGTGAAACCGTTTAAATCTTGGTGCGATTTCACCACTTACATGCTAGTGCACTCTCAGGCCAGCAGCCGTGCCAACTGGATTAACCGTTTGTACCCAACTGCCTTGAAATTAACTTAATTAGATAAAACACTTCACTAATTTTATTGCAATTTGGCCTGGCTGAGCACTGGAAGAGCATCCGAAAGGCTGCTGTAGCTCGAAGGTGTCCGACATGAGTCCCCAGAGCTAAAAGGTGAGGCACTGACTTCCAAGTGCCCCTTTCCTTAGGCTCCTCCACCCCCGTGTGACCCCCGGGACCCCCACGTCGGGCAGCATTTTTTCCAACTTCAATTTTTCGCAGTGTGTGTAGCAGTTGCTCCTCTCCAAACAGTCTCCATCCCAAGACGAGGTGCTGCTGGTTTTTGGCAGAGAACATCTCGGTGCATTGCCTACCCGGGGTCAAGCTCAACATTTGCCTCCTCCCACCACCTACCAGGGTCCGGTGAGCTCGATGTAGTGGGAAAAGACCAAACACAACAAGTAAATCTTTGGAAGAAAACTCTATTTGGCCCAAAAGGAGAAGGTTGGACCTTACTCTGCCATCAGCCAGAAGCCTTCAGCTTAGTTGTGGCTGCAGTAACTCCTCAGTGGTGGCAGCAGCTGCTCACGCTGATGTCCCCGCTGGCTCATTATCACCAGATCTTCACTCCAGCAAACAGGTCTAACCAGCTGCAAAGAGCATGTCAAAGTCTCCTGAAGAGGCTTTGCTGAAGCGGTTCCTCCCAGTTGGGGGACAGATGAAGATACCAGGAGCTCCAGCGATGCCGAGTCAGAGGAGGATTCTGGAGCTCTGTCTCCCCAGGGCAGATGGAGCAGCTGCTCTCAGCACGGCATTGCTAGATGCCGGAGCCGAGAGGAGGCAGTGCCGGGGCAAAGACAGCTCTTCCCAGCTAAGCTTAGCCGGGCTGAGCTGCCTGGTTTAGCCTAAATTCCTGGAAAAGGATGCGGGAACCAAATACGTTTCTCAGTATCTGGGGAACACTGGAAACAGTATGAAAAGTGTTAGTTTGCCATCAGAGGAATTTCGAGTTTGCGGCAAGCGCAGAGGAGACGCTCTCTCTTTATGTCGTTCCCTTTTCCGAGACGAAAGCACACAGTCCATCACCTGGATTAGATGTAGGATCACCGGAGAGAAAACCCTCGCAGCTCCTGTCTTCCAGAAGGGGCCTACAAATGCTGTGAATCCCCTTTAAAATTTTATCTTTAGTATGATGTCAATAAGCAAAACTCTTGAGTTTATTGCACCCACTATTAGGGCAACGCTTGGAAGGGCAGTAGCTTCCAGGTCCAGCTTTTGGAGCAGCCCTATGCCTCCCAAAGACGTTTCCCTCCTGGCCAGGGAAAGCAGACCTTTAGGGCACGGGACAGCCCTATCCCTTGCAAACGTTGTCAAAAACCTCTCCAAGTTCACCTTCCCAGGACTCAAACCCACCTCCTCGACTCCTCCTCCTCCTTTTTTTAATAATTATTTCAGCACCTTTCTGGCTCTGAGATTTTATCTCGTTTTCCCAGACCTTCTCGGTGCTCTTGCTGGAGAAGGGCAGCCCAGCTGTGCCCAAAGCATTGGCACCCCAGAATCCAAGGGAGACCCTTCCCCAAATTCCCCTTGGGACAAGCACCCACCCCATGCTGCCCGCAGCTCCCTGCACTGCTGACCACGGTCATGCCAGCCCCACGCACTCGCCCTGCATAAAACCAGCAGAAGGGGCAGCGGGGCCAGGTGTCTCTTTCTCTTTTTATTTTTCCTGTGGACAAACAAAAAATTTAAAAAATAAAGAAAAAAAAAAAAGCTAGTTCATACCCGTAGCACATAAACAGCAGCGTTTATAATCAGTCTGTGGTTTAATGAAATACAGCAGCAATTCCCAGTTCTCTCCATAGTGAGCCCCAGCAAACATTTCTGTTTGGTTTCTCTGGGAGTGGCCCAGTCCCACAGAGATGACTTTCCCATCGTGAAGCTCAAAGAGAAGAAAATCCACAAGCGTCTTTATAAAACGTTAACTTTGGGCTGTAACAAACTGGGCTTGCCTTTTAACAGCTTCAAGGCTTCTGCTCAAAAGACAAGACACCTCAGAGATGGAAGCTTCCTCCTGGAAGGGTTTACACCACTTTCATGTGAATCCCTCCTAGGATCTATCCAATGTCCACCTCTGGCTGCCAAGGAGGTTGCCAGGAACCATTAGAAAAATGATCTTTTGCTAAGCGAGCGTGGTAGCATAAGGGGCTGATGAAGCAGCATCAATAGTTCAGGAAAACATCTGAAAATACCTTACTCTTTCCTCAGGGAGCAGAACCATTGGCTGCGAGTGTCCAGGATCCAGCATGGGAAAGGAAACCTTGTGCTGGAGTCAGAGGTCAGGAAGCCACTGACCCACAGACGGTAAGACAGACAGACAGCCGAGCTGAGCGCCACGACGGCGGCAGCGGTGTGAACTCCATAGGCAGGCGACCACCTGCATCGGGGTACTGGTACCAGGGAGAGCCCCGGGCAGAGGTGTGCCCCAGGCCTTTGGGTCACTCTTATTTCTGCTCCGGTCAGCACGTGAGACAAACCCAAACGCTTCCCGGAGAGCACACCTCCTCCCGCACACCGGACCACCGGCCTCCGGCTCTCCCGTCAGTCACCTCAGTGACTGACATGGCTGCATCCAGATCCCCATGCCGGCGCCGATGCAGCGTACTCGGCATTTGCTCCCAAGGGTTGCGCCTGGGAACAGGCGGGTGAGTGTTTGTGTCGCGCTTTACGGAAGGTGTAGTGGGGAAGGAAGAGGAAGGAGGGTCCGTCAGAAGTGGAAAGGGTTGACTTAAAGAAAAATCTCACTCCTAGAACAGAAGGAAATATTGCAGTATATTTTAATAGTAAAACGATTCCTGTTTTTCAAGCAACGTCCCACCTGGATGAGTCTCGGGAGTATTTCTGCTTCCCGGTCCTGTGGCACCGGGGCAAAGTCTCAGAGGTCGTGGCTCTGCCCACGACCGCCTGTGCAGAACAACCCCCAGCAACTCACCGCCGACACAAACACCTCCCCGGCGTCGCAACCGCTTCCACAAACACCACAACACAGGGCTCGGCTCGGTCTCTCTCTCAGGAGAAGAGCAGGAGGCAAAAAAGAGCTTTTAATAACGGTCTGGGTTGAGATGTGTAGCAGGCTACGGAACAGAGGAGATGCCAATATTTTATTTAGTAAAAAGGTATGAACTCAGGTAGCAGAACACCTTACAGTAACTAACTCGGCAGGAAAGGTTAAAGTCATAGCACAGCCCTAGATCGATTGGGGAGTAGGAGGGGGAAGACGACGGGGAGACTTTTGGGGAAGCAGCTTCCAACCTTGGCTTCCAATATAATGGATTCAGAAAAATATTGCATGAAAAGCCTCAGGATTTTAGTTCTTTCATAGATGTATATTTACCAGTTTTCACAAAGACTGCAGGAATACGATTATAAACAATAAATTAGGACTTCATGTTGCTATCATTTGGCATAACACAATCAGGCAATTTTTCCTTTTTAAATATAAGGCAACACAAGCCAACACATAATTTAATCCGTCTTTAGTCAAATTGCTTAACTTTGCTAAAGAGTTACCACTAAAGAACGGCTTGTAGTACACTTAAAAGAATTTAAATAATGACATAAGTGTACTAAGTTACGCAAGGAGTCAGAAAACGTACTCTGCTAAGCTTTGAAACCTAAGTATTTGTTACAGCCCAGGACTACACGTCTAAATTAAAAAAATACAAATAAATGTTTCCTAATTTTTCCATTTACGAAAAACTTTTAAGAATCTCTAGCCAACTATGACGTCACTTCAAAACTTGTTACTTTTTTTTTTTTTTTAAATTTTGTATGATGTCTTTTAAGATTTTTAAACCATGCTCGTTAAGGAAAGTTGGAGGAGCAAATACTTAAGGCTTTGTTTTTCAAAGGGCTGTGAGGGAGGCCAGTGGGTGGCAGAGGCCAGTGGGTTCACCCATACACAATGCTACTCAAACCCACACTACCAGGCGACATTCATACAGAAATATTACACTTAAAAGTTACAGTGTAGAGCAATATTTTTAGCCAGTGTACATATAAAGAATCAATGCTTTTTTTTTAATTATTATTATTAATATTTTTTTTAATTTCCAAACTTGATTGTGATCATTATGTTCAAGTATTAGTCTCGTTAAGAGAGGAGAGATTTTCTACTTACAGCAAATTGGGCTGTGAGAAAGGAAAGGTGTGTTTCGGTACACTGAGGAGAACAAGACGCTGAGGTTACCCAGTAGTTAGTGTCCTACGGTCGCTACTCGACTGCTGGAAGTGACGCGGGAAAGGAACAGGAGTTAGGCACTGAGACCCTGGGAAAAAGGGATGATATACATAGCTTCGCTCATTCCCAGAGAGGAGAATCGTTCTGTTAAATCTGCTGTGGCGTTTTGATGGAGAGGAACGTGGGACCGTCAGTCCCGCAGTGGCTTGTGAGCAGAGCTTTGCATCGACCGCCTCCCGCGGCTGCCGGAGCGGGACTGCGCCCCGCCACCCCACGCGCCCGCTCACCGCGCTGGAGACGAGCTCGAGTTACGTCTCCTCTCCCTGAAAGTAATTCTGGTTACCCGAGAAGCAGCTGAACCCTTTTTGGAGTTGTCAGTGGGTCTGGACTCCACATCAGGATGGCCAGACTCCTAGCAGCGAGGGGTTCAGACCACGTTGGCTCTTACGCTGGCAAAAGGGGAGCGGGGAAAAGAAACATGATGCAGAAAAAAAAGGCAACTACCTACGGCAGCGCTGCTGCTTACGTCCCGAAACCGCCATTCCCCCGTCCTCCATACCCTGTCCGCAAAAAAAAAGTGTCAGAAAAAGCAGCCGGAGGCTGTTGGCTTTGGACAAAGCCTAAACGAAAAACGCGGGCGTCTCGGCAAGAAATAGCTGGAAAGCTTCTTCCTAGGTTAATGCCCACCCTAGCCAGCTCTTTGCAAACGTGGGCTTCTTTTTCAATTAAACAGGCCTCTAGACAGTGCACATGGTCAGTGTTTGATGCATTAATGAAACGGGCTTTCGAGGTGAAAATAAGCCCCGCTTCCTGACAAACCCTGTTGCTCTGAATCTTCGGAGGAAACCGAGATGGAAAAGTAAGCAGCTACGCTACCTCGCCCTCGACGGGGCCGGCGAACGGATGCAACTGCGAGACCCCGCAGCAACTCGGCATCGGTCCAGCACGGAGCCACTAAGCAGAAGGCAAAAGCTGCGGGAAGGGGATTCTGCGGCGAGGAAACGGCTGCGGCGGGAAGTAGTGTAATTAAATTCTTTGAAAGTAAGGGCAGGTTAAATGCAGAAAGGAGATAGGTAACATGTAAGCAAAGCTTTTAAATATACAGTATGTCTTCTTCCAATGGTTACTATAATGATCACACAAGTTTGCAAGTTAAAAATGCCTTGCTTATTAATTAAAATTAAGACTAAACCTATAATTTTTGTCTGTGAAAGTGACTGCAGCCTATCTATACCCTGGGTGTTGAATATGAAGATTTCGACTATCGGTTGGTTCAGGTGCTCGGTTCATGGGAGGCCGATGGACTTTTCCCAGCACGGCCATGTTCTGATCTCTGAAGCAGGACTGCTGGAAGTCCCCGCTTAGGTAATCCATGGTCTGCATCACATTATTCTGGCTGGATGGGCCAGCTCCAGCTCTGTAATGAGTTCCTCCTGCACAATCTAGCGGCGCTCCTGCCGCCTGTCCCCCGTGGAAAGGCATGGCGAGGTCCTGGGACCCAGAGCTGTCACTGTTGGGTGTGGGCAGAATGTTATTCCAGATGGGCTGGAAATAGTGCCCATTGGTATATGGCAAGGGTCCCTGCAACCCGTTCACAGGCGGAGAAGGCGTAGGCTTCTCGATGGGGGGCTTCAAGCTGAAGGACTGGCCCATGCACAGTTCTTGAGGGTAGTTTGAAGTTTTGCCAGGGAAACTCTGCCCCGCGATCTCTCTCTGAGGGTGCTTCCCTGCCAGTCCAGCAGGCCCAGCAGCATCCCCACACATTTGCTGCAGATGTGCAAGCTGGTGCTGGTTCCACGCAACCGATTTGATTTCGTTCTGGTAGGCGGGCGGCACCCTGTTAATATTCACCATGGGCACATTAACAGAGGCAGGAGGAATAGCAGCAGCAGCATGATCTACAGGGTTTACTACACAGGAAGGCATGGGTGTAGGGACATTGTGAGTAGATACCCTGGTACTTGCATTGATAAGCAGGTTGCGACTTATAGGGCTGGGGTTTGCGATCTGTCCCTCACATACTGAGGTAGTGCTAATGCCAGCTCTGGCCTGGCAGAACTGGTTAATCTGGTGCACAATGCTGCTCAGGTCCGGTGGCTGGTTCTGCTGCAGGGTGGCAGCCATAGAGAGGGGAATGGTTGAGGTAGACACGGTCACATTCGGCGGCGCATCTGCATCCGGCATCTTTCTGCTTCCATGTAAACCTGGCTGCAGCAAAGGATTTGGGGGGTGCTGCAGAGTCTGGTGTGCCATGGTCTGAGGGTGCTGCAAGCCCTGCGGCTGCTGCATGTTCTGAGGGTGCGGCAGCGCCTGGGGCTGCGGTATCCCCTGAGGGTGCGGTAAGCTCTGTGGCTGGGGTATACCCTGAGGGTGCTGCAGAGCCTGTGGCTGCGGTATACTCTGGGGGTGCGGCAAAGTCTGTGCATGCTGGAGAGCCTGCTGGCGAGCAAGCGCCTGGGGGTGGGTTAAAGTGCTAGGTGCAACGTACGGTGTGGAAGGGGGATTCATCATCGCTTCCGGCAGCAGGCGCGTGCGTGTCCCGTCAAAGTCTTTGATAATGCCTTTCGCTGGAGATTTGACTATCGCCAGGAGGCCTGTTTTCGTGGTGGCCTGAGACGGGTAGGGACTGTACCTCTGGCCCGAAGTATCAAGTCCGTTCACAGTACGGCGTATGTGTTTCCTCTGGGGAACCTTGACACTGTTTGGAAAAATTTTTATAGTCAGTGGATTGTTGGCGACCTTCTTAGCATAAGCATCCAATTCTGCTGGGGTAGGATACTGTGCAGATCTCATTTTCTGTGTAGTGTCCCCTGCGGAGAAAGGAAATTTGTCAATACCGATTCTGGTAAGCGAGGGATCAACCTCAGGGCAAGACAGTTGCACAACAAGGGTAGGAAATCTCCAAGGAATCGAGAGGCAAGAACTTCACCTTCCCAGACCAGCAGATCTCATACCAAGTACCTCCTTCCCTTTATTACCTGGTGACCAACACAACCCCCAGGTTCAGCTTAAGGCAAGACCTGCCCAGGGGAGCAAAATGAAGTCAGTGCTTTGATCAGAGCATGTTTACAGTTGGAGAAAACAAGCAACACGCTACAAACATCGGACTGTCTCCAGCCTGAACTACTCCTTACAGCTTGAAGTGGTGGGCTAGTTGCTATTCTCTTAAATTAAAGATGCCTCCTCACGGCTCTTCAAGCCATTCTCACTATCTTTATCACGTAACTCAGAAATCAGAAAGGTATGAATTAAACATTAAACTCGTGTAACTCTGAGGTGGGAACCAGATGAAGCACTTCAGCTCAAGCCTCCATTTACATCTGAGCTCTTTCTTTTCTAGATGCTGACATCTGAAAGCACTTCGAGTGTCTGTTTGTCCATTAGGAAGCCCTCGTCAGTCCAAGCTCGGCTACATGTGCGTTATTTTATGGCTTGCAATTATGTCTTCAGATAAATTTGCAGTGTGGCACCTTGCTAAGGACCACATCCTCGTGTCACACAGCAAAATTAGGTTATTACCTCACAAGATTAAAAACATGCTACTCCCCAGACGCAGACAAAAGACTTCTGGAGACAGAGGTGTGGTTTCACTTACTCCAATTTACCAGATACCTACCTTGCCCACAAGCTCAAAGTGCTTCTGGAAAGAACTTCAGGAATCTAGGGAAATGTCTGCACCTCTCTCACTATAATCATATTCTAAGCAGAGAGCTGGGCTGTTCCCCTACCACAACTTTGCTGCTTAACTCCTATGGGATGACTGCTTTAGAAGGGATTTTATCATCTTCAAATAACGGCTTGCAGCTTTGACAATTTGATTTTGCTTGATCTTTTCCCCCAACCTTGCAAACAGTTTACTGGAAAAAAACACCCATCCTTTTTGCTAAAATTTTCAGCATTCCCATGCCATCTGCTGCTGTGCTGAAAGAACAAGAAACGCAGCAGTCAGCTCCTTCAGAGCCCAAGAGCACCCCGGCCCCACATCTGGCCCTCTGATCCAAGGAAATCTAATGGTCCAGTAAAGAGCTTGATGATCCCTGGTAAACAGCCCTCCTCGAAAATCCACCTATGATTCTTTTAAGCAAATTGCCTCCAAAAGGTTCCTGAATACAGCTCAAGTCTGAGTACCAGCCATTTCTTCCTCTTTGCATCCTGCAGCTTCCAGTCTTCAAAGGTGAGGGAGAGCAATGCTGCTCTAAGAGCACTCACTTTCAGAAAGTAAAATGGGCCAGAAAATGGAAAATAGGAGGGATACCAAAAGCAAAGATAATTATAGAAATATTGAAAATATCTTTTGTGAAATGGGAAGCTTTGCAAGCAGGCTGTCTTGCATCTCTAGCACAGCACGTACCACAGCGCCGGTTACGGTCTTTACTCTCTGTGCTGCCCAAACGCTGGCACGTGCCAGTACCACCCTTCCTCTCAATCGAAGGCAACACTCATTTGATATTAACCCAAACATCCTCTGTTCGGATCCCTGCACCTGCTGCTGCAGGCAGGTGGTTTCTGTCTCCTTTTGAGCGAGCTGCTATGCTCCTAACAGAGGGGAGAGCCTCCCCTCCGAACGGATCTGCCAGTACTACTCTGCCTCAACATCCAAGGCCTCCATGAGCTCCCCAACCTTTATTTTGGCACAGGCCACGCTCGTTAAGTTCTGTTTCTTCCCCAGGAGAGGACCCTTACAACTCACCACGAACCAGAGAACCACCATCAACAACGGACAAAGGAATCCACTCTTCTGTACTGTGGTTTGTTACAGTTATGGCCCCTGCCACATAAAGCTTTTATTTTCAGATGAAAAATTGAGTAGATACTTTAAGGCACCTTTCTCATCAAAACTTCGCAGTCTGGTTTACACTTCTATAGGCATACCAGCAAATTAGGTGGTAAACATTAGCACTGAACATTCCTTAGTTACTCACACATCTATTTTTCCGTTACGCGGGCACTGGGATGGAAGCTCTCAGAAAGCAGTTAAATCATCCACGTTTGCAGGGGCTGCTGCGGCTGTCGTTATAACACATCCATAACCCCAAATCCAGAAGAACACCCTCCTCCGACGAGAGAAAATAAGCCCTCAATTAAACCGAAATGATGCACCAGCATCAAGTTTGGCACCCTACCAAATGGCAAACCGTCTTTTCGACTCCTCGGACAGGATCTTCTTCACCATCTCAAACAGAGCCCGTTCAACATACGGCTAAGACTGTGCTCCTTTTTACTGTGGACTAACTCAGCCATTCTACTTAGGCCTGACCAAGGTGATGTATTTCTGAGTGCCACAACGTGCTGCTTAAAATGTGCTTTGCTAGTAGTTCCACAGGCAAGAATCGATGACTAGAATAATTAAGGCAGCAAAAAATTAGGAGAAAGGAGAAAGGCATTACGGGGCGAGCAAGAGTCTGAACATCCCATACAAATATCCTGCAAACCGGTAAAGGACAATTAGGTCTGGTTACTAAGTGAATGGAAAACCAGACAGAACAGATCCCAAAGAAAACACTGGTATTGGAATACACTCAGCATTCATGTGCAAGTGCAAGCATTCTGGATCTGGCCATAAAACGCTGAGGAGGATGGCAGATGAACAAGCTACATTAAGGAAACAAAGTAATCAGATTCACAAAGTTGCCTAATGATAAACGTAAAGGCAGGATACTTTTGTTGAAAAGTAATTATTTCATGTTTACTATAAGGTAAAGCTGTGCATATGAGCAATTACCCCAATAAATTGGTGAACTGCAAGTTCACACTGCCACTAATCCCATGGCAACAAATTCATATGGTCACATTCCTGTGCGCGTCTCACCTCTGGAGCTATTTTTATCATGAAATAAGATATATTTCTCTGCCTCACCTCAGCACTAATGTAACATCTTTCCAGTGCATTTCTCATTAAGGCTTTAAAACCCAGTGCTTTTAAAACTGCCCACAGTGAAATTTTCATTAACGTTAAACAAAACACAAACAGGCCTTCAGGATTCCTACCCTAATGAGAGCATCCGCGTTGGGACAGGCGAAAAACAGCTGTGTCCATCTTCTGCATAAACATCTCAACTGCAGCAGCATCTCCACAGGCTTTAAAGAGCCCTCACCCTAACAAGGGCTCGATTTTAGCAGATGATCCCACATTCAGTTCCAATCTGCTCTGCTCTTCTGTTCACCCTCTCCCAAAAGCCCTCCCAGAAGCACCTTCCACCTTGACTTTGCAGAACCATCATGACAAACCACCCTTTTTTTCCCAGGCACTGCCACTATGTCCAACAGCGGCTGCAGACGCTGCCCGAACAGCCTTGCCTCGAGTTATCTCAACTGACTGGTCAGGTTTATATTGGAGTCACTGGGAGGAGAAAGAGAATATCGATACGGAGTCAAGTGAGAAATCCCCTGCGTGGATAAGGATGAATTTCAGGGGTAGCTTTTCCTGTGATGCAGGTTGGAATTCCAAGACAAATACTGAAATCGGAAGTCCTCTAGTGATTGGTTTCTAAAGGGAAAAATATTTGCATATTAATCTTCAAAACTCCTACAGACCACCTTTAAGAAAAATGCCTCTCATCTGACTAAGAAGAAAAAAAAAAAGATAATTGAGCTAATATGGATTTTTAAGCACTACTAAAAAGTCTGATCCAGAAAACTACACTTAAAAAATTAATGCAAACACCGTAAGTCTGAATAAAAGCTATCATGTGGAGTTCTGTGCCTTTTATAAAAGCAACAGCACTGTTATTAAAGCCTGCTGCCAAACCCCATCAAAAGTCACAAGTCACCCTTCATTAAAATCGCTCATTAGTCAGCTTTCCTTTGGCACACTTGTGCATATACAGTCCGGAGAGAAACGCACCAATTAATCTTACACACATCTGCAGCAGGGGTGAGCAAGGTCTGTACGAGCAGTTTCATTTTCCATATAAATCAGAACAAACTGGAACAGCTGAGCATTACCCCTGCCAGCCACTGCCTGCCAGCTACTTTATGTCCTAAATTCTGTTCAATGCAGTACCCAAAGCACTTCACTAAGCAGGATACAGCGATGCTTTCAGCATGGGGATAAGCAGTTCTCAGAAACAGCACCAGGTACCACCAGGTTAAGAAACTGCCCACATACCAGCACGTTGTCTCATAAACGTGTAATTAGCAACTACCTGATTTAGGCACAACTACCCTCACAGGAACCTCAACAATTTGCTTTCAGAACCAAGCTTTCCAAGCCAACGAAGAAACTTCACCAACACAAGGACCTAGGCACCTTCTCACCGCAACAGCCTACCTTTTGAATACACGTGTTTCCGTCAGCAAAGCTCCAACTGGAAATGGAAAAGAGAAAGGAGGGGAATGCCCAGTTTTGTGCCATCTAAGGAAGTCCTTTTGTGAGTAAGGATTTTTGCTATTGCCAAAAGCGTCGCTACAATTACCAAGCCCATGGAGTCGGCATAAATGTGGGGGGGAGCACACGTATGTACCTGAACAGTGTCATTCACCCTGCCAGGACTTTAATCATGTCACCCTTAATTGCAAAATTATCTTACCTATTTTCAGCAGCACCACAAATCTTAACATCGTAACAATTTTAGGTATAACTGCAGGGTGAGTTACTTGGTTCTAAAAAGCAAGGAGTCCATCAGCAAACTGAGGGAACAGAGTTCTCCCAAAACACGTTTCCAATACAAGAGACAGATCACAGCCCTAAGAACCAAGTACACAGATCTTCTGTAGAAACTTTGGTATTTCTGACATTTCAGCTGAACGATCAATGTGCAACTTCAGTGATAAAGAGAAGAGACAGAGTAAGATTCAGAAAAATCTCTAGCCAGTAAATTTACATTCCCAAGCCTGAGCTCTTCTTAAAAACACTACTACAGCTATCAAAAAAAGGACTGAAGTTATAAAAGAAGAATTATCAGACTACTCTGCAGACATATTTTCAGAGGCACCAAAGAAACATCAGAAGGAAGACAGACACTTTGAACGTTAGTAATTTGGGCTAGATCACCAATATTTGCAGTACATGCCCTAGGTATGTAGAACAACGGAGCTGCTGACCTCAAAAGGTTTGTATTAGCCCGATCCAACTTCTGTTGGTGACTACAAGCAATTAAACGAATGGAAGTGAAAAGGAGTAAGGAAAAACTTGTGTTAAGAAGCAAGTCAGCTGGCACACTTTTAGCACAAAACGTTTTCAGCAAAGAGGCACGAATCTCACAGAAACCTCACTTGCATTTCGTCGTGCTGTGGTTAAAATTAACCTTTATAAAGCCGGGAAGGGGGAAGAACTTGCTGCACACACGTGAACCTGCACAGCGATTTCTCAGAGCCATTATTGATGGATGCCTTGAAGGCACAATGAAAGAAAGACTCTAACATTAAACAGTTTTTCCACTGTATCCTAAATGTTTATGTCACAGCTGTACCAGAGCCAGATTTAACAGTTAACCACATCCTGCAGACAAAACGTCACTCACATTTCTGAAGTCCAGTGTTCATCTGCGTGTAAGAAAGAAGCTGAAAGGAGAGGTCACCTGGTCCTGGCAGACAGGCCAGCATGGCAGACAGGCACTAACACAACATGGGGCATTCACTCCTCTGCACACTGCAACAACAGAGAGACAATTCAAAGTTATAATACAAGGAGGAACAGAGAAAAGAAAGCGGCAAAGAGCCATCCCTGGGTGAAGGCCTGACCAAGCACAGATGCGCGCCTGCCGCTCCGGCCCTTACTGCATCTTGTAACGGAAATGCTTCAAGAAGTGGGTCATCTGCAGCGTTAAAACTAAAGCAGCCGCCTCGCTCTCCTCCGCTGCTTGACAGACAGGGGAGAGGCCACAACTCTGTCCTCACGTCTCAAAGGTGGTTGTTATGAACGGTAAAGAAACCACCATCATTCATTGGACTATACATTGAAACGCGCTGGCTATCTACCAGGTATAGCCAGAGCAAGTCCTCTGGAGAAATCCTGTCAACTGCTCTTTTACATTTAATAAAAAGGCATGGCATGCATAAATTGAAGGCAAAGTATGCAGCACTCTGCCTCGTGGCAAGATTGAGCTGCATGCTACAGCTTGTAATTTCTGTGGCCCATTAGGCTGAAAGATGAATGGCTACAACTTCCTTCATTTCACAGGAGACTCGCTAACCTGCGCGGCTCCGGGTTAGACAAACGGCGAGACGTGCCTTCTGCACAAAGGAGTTGCAGAGGTGCCACCACCCCCTGCTGCAGAGGTTCAGCATTTGAGAGACTGAACCTCAGAAGGAACGCACGGAGCACTAAAGCTCTTTATGTACAAACACTGCATGGCTACCCCCAAATCCCATCATCGGTGTACAGACACAAGGGGTTTCCCAGCAAAGCTAACTCGGGCTCAAAGTCTCCCAACGTTACTAGGATTACGGAGAGGAATCTGAGTTGGAACAAGGTCTCTAGAGGCTGCCTGGTCCAAGCCCCTGCTCAGATCCCCCCTTGCCGCAGCTACTGGGACAAGCTACAGCCAGCCACGAGCTCTTTAGAAAGATCTGGGAAACGGGGAGGCTGAGCCAAGCTGGAGATACCAGTTGACTTCTCCTTGTGCAGATCTCTGCATCAGTGCCTCTATACAGGGTGTGCTTTTGCCAAGACACCTAACGAGCCGCTAGAAAGGGCTTGGTGTGTTATACGGCCCCCAAAATTTAGAAGAGTTGGAGGCTTCAAAATGCATTAATTTCAGTCATTGTTTCAAAACGCCAATTAAAACAACTGGGGACGCGTTCAAAGATCAAGACAGGTGAAGCAGAAAGCTCGAGATCGGCACGAGAAGCCACGGCTGCAGAAATCCTGCAGAAGCCACTTCTGAAAGAGCAGCACTGCCAAGGACTGCGCAAACAATGTGAAGCCTTCGGATGATGCCCGACGCAGCAACGTCAGCGCGACGTCCTGGATAGCATCACCGCCTTCGTGATCCAGAAAGCTTCAAAAACCCGTTACTCTGCAGAGATATTTTAGAGACTTTAATTTGAAACTTAACCTCAGACCACCGTCACAAGTCAGACCACCCAAGGAATACCTGCATCAATACAGTTAATGGCTTGGACTTAAAGATTTCCCACAGGAACTACTCACTGTGTAGATTCATTAGCTCCATGTCTATTTGCATCTCCTTGGTTCAACAGACAAAGGCTGATTAAACCAACGGCCAAGCAACCTCATACAAATACTAATTTATGAAAACTTCTGCGTCTTCACTGTGCGAGTGGTCTCAAAAGCCAAGCGAGTGTTGCTGAGTGAGCCCGTTGGGTGCCACTCTAACAAATAAAAATAGTTTTGGGCACAGAGTATCAGCTTGACAGCTCCATGCTATTTCCCACTCACTCTACTCACTGAGAGTAACAGTGACCCAGTGCCGTGAGAAACAAACACACAACCTCACCGAGCTGCAGGGCCAACAGCGCAACCACCAACACAAGTTTACGTTGTTCTCCATTTCATCCCTAGGACACAGGAACGATCTGCACTACCAGAAGTCCAAGATATTTAATTGTAAAACCTTGTAAAATTACTCTAAACCTAGATTTTTCTTCTCACCCTCTGCAGGAGGTGGAGTTCTTGGAGTCTTTCAGGTGTTCAGAAATGATGACTGAAGACCTGTCACATCCACAACTTAAAGGAATTGCTTTAGGAACTGAAAAGTTGCTCGACCTTTACAAATAAGATTCATTAATGACTGTAAGTATGCAATGCTCAGTGAAACTTTGCAGACAGCCTGTGGGCACCAGTTTCTTGTCCCAAATCATGCTCAGCGAGACCAAAAAGAAAAAACAAGAATCCAGCTCCTCTTAATCAGAAGACAAAATCACCATGAGTTGCCAGAGCTTTACCTGAGTAAGCAACAGAAACACTCATGGTCAGCAAGAAAAAATAATAATTGTATTTTCCTTTTCCCCCTCATTTCATCAACTTCAGAAGACTGGCAAAACCAAGACCTATTTCTCAGTGAAAAGCAGACAAATAAAACTAAAAGCCTTTGTCATAGTCAGGAAACCATCAGATCACACCATTCCCATATCCACCTAAGCGTCTACCTCTTACTCCAGTAACATCTGACGCCAGCCCAGGATTATTTCCCATCCCTGCATGGCCAGAGGAGGTCGGTGTGGAAAACATTACTTAACTGATGGCAAGTTTGTGTGGCGCCCCGGAAGGGAGACAAGCGTTCTGCAGCGCAGCACTGCACTCGGCGTGCTCTCTGCTTGAACAAGCAGCATTTCTGGCAGCAAGATACGCGGAAGGTTTGCTCACCTGCGCCGTCACTAACGCTCATTACAGCCTGGACACCGGGACTCTGCCAGTCAGCCTCTTGCTGAAGTGCCACGGGAGGCTCAGCGCCACGCACACCGCAATAAACAGGATAATGGCACATTAGGAGAGAGAACAAGTGATTAAGAGCGGTCACAGCGTTCGACTCGGAATAGCCAGGCTTCTGTGACCAGACAGCAGTATTTCCTTGAAGGTCAAAACATATATTTACAGAGGCTTTAGCTCCAACAAAGAAAGTGATGCTTTAGAGAGAGCGATAAAGGCAAGTTGTTCCCGCAGGCAGATAAACATTTTAGGCAATGCCAAAGGTTCATAAAGGACTGGGGTGGCAATAATAATTTTAAATTAAATATTTGGCTTACAAAAATAATTTTAAGTGGAAGCATAAAATAATTCTTTTAGCTTGATTTGCAATAACCAAATTAATGCCATCTAGGTCACTGCTGAGCATTAAAAAAAGAAATTCACACTTATATAGAAGTGCTGACCATAACTCCATTGCTGAATTCTGTATTATAATTAAAATCCTGCTCCAATTTTTGTTCTCTATGAAATTAATATAGTTTTTCAAAATCAAGATCTCAGTATTTGAAAACTAATGCATTTGAAATATCTTTACAAACAAGTATGTGGGGTTTTTTTTTGTTAGAAATGAATTAACATTTATTCCCTTGGAGATACTCGGCACCTGACTACTACTTTCTGACCTGACTCTTCTTCAGCACGAGCCAGCGCAGCCAACTCCAACACACCACCCAGCTAAAACGAGTCGAAATCCCCGGCACGGACTGTATCTGGGATTGAGGTGAGCATTACTGGCTGTCTCAGGTCGGCAGCTAGACCCACCATCCCCTCCTGCGCTCAGCTTTATTCCTTCTAACAAGTCCAGAGTAGGAGATAAACTGAACTTGGCAGGTTAAGACTTCTCACTAGCAGGCTTGGCTCCACAGCGGCAACTTGTGTGGGCACCAACACCTGCAAAGCTCCCTGGGGGGCTGCTGCCCCAGCCCCTCCGAGGATGGGCTGTGTGTTACTGGGTGAACTGGAGCGGACTGAGTGAATCAGGAATCAAGTTTGGTTTTTTTTTCCACAGTAGTAGGTTCAGTAACGCTGTCTTCTAAGCCAGTCAGCTACAAACTGAAGAGCAAGCTGACCAGAAGGTTCTGACACCCAGCAATGGAGGGCGGCTGTAAACCCCTTACCTTTAAAGTTATTAAATTGTATTTTAAACTGATTCTGTATACTGCCAAACACAGCATAACGAGCTCTGTCTTGAAAATACATATAAAAAGATAAAGTACATTTCTAGAGGAAAACAATCATTAGATTGGAATAAATAAATACTCCTCTTTGAAGTGATTTTAATCTAATCTGGCTGCAGGATATAATCGTAACAGCACACGTACTGCAGGACGCTCTGAAACAGCTAGCAGGTTCAAACATAGAACAGATTTTTTTCCTCCTAAGATTTATTAATAATTAAATCAAAGCATGTTCAGCTTAAGAGGGATTTGCAGTGCTTGGGATCTGGGGGTAATTGTCACACGCCCATAATGACTGTTACATCCAGCCTTACCTGCGCATCAGGGTGGGTTTTGGTCCAGTAGCACAGTGTCCCCTGCACTGATTTTCAAAGTAAGCCCTGTCACCACCGAGGCTCACCGGGTAGGACGGAAGAACTCACCTCCACCCACTGCCCACGGACACCCTCCCTGTAGAGCTAAGAACCAGTTCCCATAAAACTGACCATGATATTGCCTTTCTGGACTAAAAAGATATATTATTTTCTGGCTGATATTCCAAGTTTAGTATTGCCTCTGCCAGATCCAGTGCTCCTCAAGCCAGGGGGTACTTTTACGAGCTAGAGTAAAACAGAGGTGTAAAGCAACTCGGTACTACTAGGAAATTTCTAATACTCTGACACACTTTATCATTATATAAACAGACCACATATGCAGAGTTATTGCCAAGTTTTCAAATATGCCAGTCTCTGAAACTCTCAAGAGGCCTTGCAGGGTAAGCACACAAAGGAAACACTCCCCACAAACCATTCCCGGCCAGTGAAACATGGGAAACTGAGCTGGTTTAGACGAAAGCAAGCTGGTGAAGTTGAAAGTGAGGTTCCTGAAAGTAAACATGCATGTTTGAAATTCCACCATTAACTGCGGGCTTGTTCACAAAGCTCCGGGCCGGGAGGAAGCAGGAGCATCTACCCACACACAAAAGAAAAGCTCCAAACTATTCCAAGTTTCCAGCACCCCGGGGTCCTGTAAGCCGTGCGAGGGTTGTTAAGCGCTTGTGGC